AAAGGCCATATATGAGAAACCTACAGCCAACATCATACTCAACGGGCAAAAACTAAAAGCTTTCTCACTAAGATCAGGAACAAGACATGGTTGTCCACTTTTACCACTTCTATTCAACATAGTATTAGAAGTCCTAGCCACAGAAATTGGACAAGAAAAAGAAATAAAAGGCATCCAAATTAGAAAGGAGGAAGCAAAGCTATCACTGTTTGCTGATGACATGATAGTGTACATAGAAAACCCTATAGACTCCACAAAAAAAAAAAAAACTACTCAATCCTAATATGTTAATTTGGCAACACAGTGGGATACAAAGTCAATGTCCAGAAATCAAAGGCATTCTTGTACACCAACAACTAAATATCAGAAAACAGAAGTCAGGAAAAAATTCCATTGGATATAGCAACAAGAAAAATAAAGTACCTTGGAATAAACATAACCAGGGAGGTAAAAGACCTGTACTCAGAAAACTACACAACACTGAAGAAAGAAATTAAGGAAGACACAAATGAATGGAGCATATGCCGTGTTCATGGATTAGAAGAATTAACATCATCAAAACGTCCCTACTGCCCAGAGAAATGTATAGATTCAACACAATCCCCATTAAAATGCCAATAGCATACCTCACAGATCTAGAACAAACCTTTCAAACATTTAGATACAACCATAAATGACCCCAAGTAGCCACAGCAATTTTGAGAAAGAAAAGCAAAGCAGGAGGGATCACAATACCTGATGCCAAACTATATTACAAGGCCACAGTAATCAAAACAGTCTGTTACTGGCATAAGAACAGATACATGGATCAATGAAGCAGAATAGAGAGCCCAGAAATAAACCCATGTCTCTATAGGCAATTAATATTTAACAAAGGGGTGCAGATGTATAAAATGGAGTAAAAATAACCTCTTCAACAAATGGTTTCAGGAGATCTGGACAGCTACTTTCAAACAATTAAACTCGACCACCAACTTACACCATACACAAAAATAAACTCAAGATGGATAAAAAACTTAAATATAAGTCATGCAGCCATAAAAGTCCTAGAGGAGATCATAGGCAGAAAAATCTCAGGTATTCCATGTAGCAATATTTTCACCAATATGCTTCCTAGAACAAGGGATGGAAAGGAAAATAAACAAATGGGACTTCATCAAAATAAAAATCTTCTGCATGGCTAAAGAAAACATTAGCAAAATGAGGAAGGAACCAACCTTATGGTAAAACATATTGGCAAATGATACATGAGGCAAGGGTTTGATCTCCAAAATATATAAAGAACTCATACAACTCCACTCCAGGAAGACAAACAATGCAATTAAAAAATGTGCAAAGGACCTGAACAGACACTTCTCCAAGGAGGACATACAGAGAGCCCAGGGACATATGAAAAGATGCTCAGCATCACTAGCCATCAGAGAGATGCAAATTAAAACCACACTGAGATACCACTTCACCCTGGTCAGAATGGCCATCATAAACAAATCAACAAACAAGTGCTAGAGAGGTTGTCAAGAGAAGGGAACACTAGCACACTATTAGTGGGAATGCAAATTGGTGTAGCTACTGTGGAAAACAGTATGGAATTTCCTAAAAAAAACCACTAAAATTGAACTGCCTTTTGACCTAGCAATTCCACTGCTCCAATTATGCCCTAAGAATCCTAAAACACCAATTCAAAATAACCTACACACCCCAGTGTTCCCAGCAGCACTATTTACAAAAGCCAAGTGCTGGAAACAGCCTAAGTGCCCATCAGTAAATGAGTGGATTAAAAAACTGTGGTATATTTACACAATGGAATACTACAAAGCAGAAAGAAAGAAGGAACTCCTACCCTTCATGACAGCATGCATGGAACTGGAGAGTATTAGACTAATTGAAATAAGCCAGGCAATGAAAGACAAATACCATATGACCTCACCTATAAGTGGAATCTATTCAACAACAACAACAACAACAAATGAGCAAAATAGAGCCAGAGACAGGGAAATAAAGAACAAACTCACAGGGACCAGAAGGGACAGGGGAGGTGGGTAACAGGGGAAAGAAGAGGAAGGGTCAAGCCAAGGATCATGTATAAAGGACTCATGGATAAAGACAATGGGGGTGGGGTTGGCCAGGGGAGCAGTTAATTTTGGAGGTGCAGGGTGGATAGGGCAGGGGAGAATTACATAATGGGGGAAACTGGGGACAACTGTAATTAAACAAGAATAAAAAAAAATAAGCCAGCCCTGCCTGGTGTGGCTCAGTGGGTTGAGTGCTGGCCTATGAACCAAAGGGTCTTGGGTTTGATCCCTGTCAGGCCACATGCCTGGGTTGCAGTCCAAGTCTGTGGTGGGAGGCGCATGAGAAGCAATCACACATTGATGTTTCTCTCTCTCTCTTTCTCCCTCCCTTCTCCTCTCTAGAAATAAATAAAATCTTTGAAAAAAAAATTTTTAACTAGGTCGTGAAAGACAAATACCATATGATCTCATCTAAAAGCGGAACCTAATCAACCAACTAAACAAGCAAGCAAAATAGAACCAGATATGGAAATAGAGAACAAACTGACAGTAACCACAGGGGAGGGTGGGAGAGAATAATGGGGGAAAAAAGGGGAAGGGTCAAGAAATGTGTATAAAGGACCCATAAACAAAGACAAAAGGGGTGGGGGGAGAATTAAATGTGGGAGGTCGGGATGGGTAAGGTGAGGGAGAGTATTGGGGAGGGAAATTGGGACAACTGTAATTTAACAACAATAAAAATTTTTTTAATTAAAAAATCTGTTAACAAATAATGATAGAACAACTGGGCCAATTTGTAGGGAAAAAATGGACCTCATCTCTACCTCACACCATGATCCAAAAATAACTTGAGATGAATTATATCCTAAAAAATGAAATCTAAAATTAAAATTGTATTTGAGAAAAACAAAGAAGAATATCTTTATGGCCATGAGGTAGGCAATAATTACTTACACAGGAATCAAAAAAATAATAATCACAATAAAAAAATTAATAAATTGTTTTTCAAGTAAATTAATCTCACCAAAAGACATTTCATTTTCATTTTTCATTTTATTTTTTATTTATTGTTCAATTAAAGTTGTCCTGCCTTTTCCCATTGCTCTCCCCTGCCCTATCCCCCACACTCCCAAAATGAAAAGTCACATACTGAAAGAAAAATATTCACAAAATCTACTTCTGACAAAAGACTTAACAAAACATAAGAATTCAATTCATGCTTTGGTGTACTAACTTAGTTCTGTAACCTTAAATAAGTAGCTTAAAACTCTTTTTTTCTTTTTTTTAACATTTTTTAATAAGACTCTTTTTCTTTTAAAGATTTTATTCATTTATTTTTAGAGAAGGAAGGGAGAGAGAGAGAGTGTGTGTGAGAGAGAAAGAGAGAGAGAGAGAGAGAAACATCAATGTGCGGTTGCTGGGCCCCGTGCCCTACAACCCAGGCATGTGTCCTGACTGGGAATCGAACCTGTGATACCTGGTCCACAGCCCGCACTCAATCCACTGAGCTACACTAGCCAGGGCTTTTTTTTAACATTTTTTATTGTTGTTCAAGTACAGTTTTCTACTGTTTCCCCCCACCCCTCCCCACCACCTCACCTCCCTCCCCTGTTCCCACCCCACTTTGTTATTGTCCATGTGTCCTTTCTAATAGTTCCTGCAAACCCTTCACCCTTTTCCCTTATAATCCCCTCCCCTCTCCCTTCTCGTCACTGTCAGCCTGTTCTCAATTTCAGTGTCTTTGGTTATATTTTGCTTGCTTGTTCATTTTGTTGATCGCTTCTTGGTCTTTTGGCTAAGATCAAGTGTAGTATCTGTTCTTATAGTTTAAAACTCTTTAAACATACTTTTTCTTACCTATAAAACATAAGGGTTAGGTAGAGTATTACAATGCTCCTTTTCTAAAATTCTGTGATTTTTTGAACCTACAGCAAGTTTATTGGTACAAATTATATAAAGGGGATGGTGGAAAGGAATATGAACAATGATGGTTTGGTAATTGAAAATAATGCTTAAGTATCTCTGGATATGGGAATTTACATCAAAGTAGAAACTCAGAATATTTACTTACAAAGAAAAAATATGCAAGACCCTCCAACACTGATAAGAAAACCATAGTTAAGGGTATTTTATGAATGCCATAGGAAGGCAGAATGGCAGACAGTGAGAATTACAAAATGTTTACTAATCTAGTGTGCCTATACTTGTATTTGTCAGGAAAGTAACAACAGAAAATAAGAAATACTAATAGTGTCAACAATAAAAATAAAGTTAAAAATAATAAATACTAAAAATAAAAATGTAGTGCTTATTATAAGTATTTGATACCATTGAACAAAGCACATAGTGTGCACTACACAATACTGCATTTTATAATAAGTATAATACTTAAAAATTGTAGCATCTCCTTAAAGGTCTTTTTAAAAGTCAATAACAATTTCTCTTAAAAGTGCAAGCTTTGATTTGATCTTAAAAAAAACTAATTTATTTTATTCTTGATCTGTTTTCAGATGAAGCCACATTATCTAGTAAAATAGATATTTCATATGAAAAAAATTTTAAAGGGTTTATACTTTTCACCATCATGTTCAATTACCCATTGGTATATCAACTAGTTATTGCTCCTTATTTTTTTCAGTATCACTTGTTAAAATAGCGGGATGGGAGTAAAGGAATGGATGAAAAGGTGAAGGAAATATAGTCAATATTAGTGATCTAACTTTGCAAGATTACAGATGGTTACTAGACTTAGTGTGGTGATCACATTGTAAGATATATAAATGTCAATCACTATGTCATACAGCTGAAACTAATATATCTTATGCCAACTATATTTTAACTTTAAAAGATTTGCACAAATTGTAATAATATGAAGTAGTAGTTTTCACAGGTTAAAAAAAACCTTGTAAAATTTATAGGAATTAAGGAATAAGAATTATCTACAAAGTGTTAGCAAAATTTATTCATTTTTTGTCATTTTATATTCAGGTTTAACTGAGTTGAATGACAGTCCAGTTCCCCTGGAACTTGAGCGCTGCAAGTCTCCCACTTCAGGTAAACAACAGTGCTATTTTTCAGGCTTCTGGTAACCCACTGCCCTAATCTACTGCTTTATTTTCTTAATTCTTATAATGTAAAATTTTTTATTTTAATAAAGGGATAATTCCATTTCTGAAATATAACTATAAGCAAAAGTTTTTTTTAATTTGATTCCAAAATCAATTAAAAATATGACTTTAAAAATATTTTTGGCCTCTTAAAAATTAAAATCAGAGGTATGAGTGCAATGCTTTTAAAGACATTTTAAAGAAAGCTTGTTCAGCAAGTATATTAATAATTTTAAGTAATTATTGGAAACTTTATATAGAAACTCTCTCTTCTTACAGTTATAACTGAGTTAGTGGGAAATATGTGCCACAAGTGCAGTAGCATGTGATACTATCCCTTTGGACTGTAGTTTGGAGGCATGTATATTCATTGATTAAAAAAAAACATGTAATGAAGTATGTTGAAAGTAAAACATCAGGAGAAAGTATGAGGCCATTAAAATGTATTTTAAAGTATGAGTATAAAGATTCCTAGGAATAAATCTTTTAAATATGTAAAGAAAATGTTAACAGTACAAATTATTGAGTAGTGGAATTATGAATGGTTTGCATATTTTTCTAATTTTTATTTATATGTATTTTCTGTAATGAATGTATAGCAATGTGTAAATTTCTGTGCCCCCAAAATATTTGGTATATCTTTGATATTAAACTGTAAATCTGTTTTCACAGAGTATAAAAGAACTTTTTTAATTTAAACTATTTTTAATTTCATACAAATGTATAAACATTTAATAATGTCTTTTTTATATTTTTTATTAAATACTTTTTAATTTTATTATTGTTCAAGCAGAGTTTTCTGCCTTTTCCCCCCAACTCTCCCTGCCACCCCAGCCATTCCCGCTTCTCTCCCATTTCCACCCACCCCTTGTTTTTGCCCATGCGTCCTTTATAGTTGTTCCTGTAAACCCTTCACCTTTCCCCCCCCTTTATCCCCTCCCATATCCCCCCTGGTTACTATCAGTTTGTTCTTAATTTCAATGTCTCGTGTTATATTTTGCTTGCTAGTTTGTTTTGTTGATTAGGTTCCAGTTAAAGGTAAGATCATATGGTATTTGTCTTTCACCACCTGGCTTATTTCACTTAGCATAATGCTCTCCAGTTTCATCCATGCTGCCGCAAAAGGGTAGGAGCTCCTTCTTTCCTTCTGCTGCATAGAATTCAGTTGTGTAAATGTACCACAGTTTTTTGATATATCAGCTAGTTATTGCTCCTTATTTTTTCAGTAATCCATTCAATAATGTCTTTGTAAGGCAATAATTTTTCTCCTTTTTATTGAAGTTATTGACTTTTAGATATTTATTTAGAATTATGACATCTTCAATTTACTTCATCCCTTATTGTTCTCCTTTTCACATTCAAGTTCAGGTTCCATTTGGAATGTATTCTGTGTATGATGTGAGGAAGGAATCAAGGTTCCTTCCATTTAGTTATCCAGTTTATAAATACCATTTATGGGAAAACTATCATTTCTCCTGCTGTATCAAAGTGAATTTTTGCCACAAATTGGTGTACTTGACTGTTTGTGTGTGTGTGTTTCTAGATCATATTCTATTTCATTTACATGTTCATCTGCCATTTATCCAATTCCACTCTATTTTACTTTCTATAGCTTTAGAGTATTGTTGATAGTGTAGGTTCTCCAATTTTTTTTTTTGTGGTTCTTTTTCAAGAGCGTGAGAACTATTTTCAGTCTTTTGTGTAAAATTGTTCAGTTTGCACACAAATATGCTTAGGTAGTGATTACTGTTTCATTGGATCTATAGATTAATTGTGCAGAATTAATATATTCAATAATATTTAATTTTCCATTTGGTATCTCTCCATTTACATGTGTTTCCTTTACTCTCAGAAATATTTTTAATCATCTTTTTAGAGATCTTGCATACCTTTCACTGGATTTATTCCCTTATGTTCAATTTCTTGGGGGGAAGATAAATTGTAGAATTTTTAATCAATGAAATATTATACTGCAATAGAAAATAATTACAGGTAGCCCCATTAACATGGATAAATCTTTTTAAAACTATAAAACTCATCAAAACTACTTTTTTATTGTTTGCAGCTAGAATATAAAATACAATTAATTCTTATGTTAAACATATCCAGAAAATTTGATAAATTTATTTAATTCCAATAATTTATAAATTCTTTTGAACTACCTGTATATTCAATCATGCCCCTCTGTTAAAATATCACTTATATTCTTCTAAGGAAAGAAATTATCTAGGACCTCAATACAAAGCTGAATAGATGTGTTAGCAGACCATTTTCCTTATTCCCAATCTCAGAGATAAGTCTTTCAGTATTTCATAATTCTGGTAATTGCCGTAAGTTTAGTAACATCCTGCTTTTAGCCATCTTGCCTATGATGTTTCTTCTTTTATTAATGTTAGAGCAGTTCTGGAAACACTATCACTTTTTTTTTTTGGCAGACTGAGAGAACTTGGCATACAATCAACTAGATTGCTTCAAAGCAGGAAGGTTTTGAATACATTTGTATTCTGTTATTTGGGACAGTGATGATTGACTGTGATAAAATTCATTTATCGCTTCAGTGGCATATTTGAGACTAGTCTACTGGCCAGTCCTGTTCTTTTTTGGTAGCAATTTTAAAATAAAAGTAATTATAATTGAGGAATAAGAGATTATTCCTTTTAACAGGTTTTCAATCATTATATATTTGTTAAAATATATAAAGTTTTTTTCCTGGGGAAAATGCTAACAGTTTAATATATCATAAGAAATATTAGACAACTGTACTTGAACAACAATAAAAAAGAATATTGGAAATTATCAATATTTGCTTGTTTAATTCATTTCCCATGAAAAAGAAAAATAAGTAATTGTGTATATTAAGGAGTCTTTTTAAGCCCACAAAGTAGAATGTGTTTAATACTATTTCCAGCAATCTACTACTATTTCCAGCATACCATAGCAACAAATATACATAAAACTACATTCTATAGTCTCTTGCTATTGTTATAGGAATTGCTGCATCCAATCTAGATTGTCAGGAAAGGCATAGTTAGGATATAAATGCAGACTTTTTAAGCCCAATCTCATAAAACTAAAATGTAACTATGAAAAAAGTAAATTTAAGACTTTATCAATAGTTCATAAAACTCATGAAGCTTATTATTGCTAGAGGTAGAAAAGAATGAAAATATAAATAATTAAATTGTTTATATAACTTATGAATGACAGCATCAATATATTATTAAGAGAAACTAGAATATTTGTAACTTATCCTAATTTTTGAAAAATTAAGAAAAGCAGCCGTGCCACGTAACAAGTCAGTTCATGAGGTCTGACGAATAGTGGCAATTTTATGCTTGTATCTGGGTATATCTCCCCTTTTTATGCACACAAAATACTTAAGAGCCAGTACTTTTCTTGCCTTTTTTTTTCTTTAGTGCAGTGATTTTGAAACAAAATCATGTGAAGAGTTTGTTAAAACACAGATTGCTGATTACCAGAGCTAGATTTTAATTCAGTAAGTCTAGAGTGGAGCCTGAGATTTTGCCTTTCTATCAAGTTCTCAGGTGATACAAATCTTCTGGTCTCTGGACCACTTGAGAATCATGGCTCTGTGAAACTTTTTTAAATATTCTTTTCAGTAGTTACTTCATCTCTCAGTATCTATTTTGGGATCTCAGACACTTATGTCTTTAAAGTCTGCTAAAAACAGATTAAAATATTGACACAGTTATCGCTCAGCAAGAGAGATTGGGAATTACAGAAACTGGAGACCAGTAATCATTTTATAACTCTGATTTTCTACATGAATCTCAAACCCCCTTTTAGCCCAATAAACTACAAGTAAAATAAAGTGAAGTTTTGGACTATAAATATATCCTTTAGGATAATGAGAGAGGACCGAGTAGTATTTAGGAGCTGAAAGAAGCCCAATGAACCAACAAGAATGCTGATGTTCTTAGCTTCTAGGATAATATAATCATTTAATATTTAATTATCACCAACAATTCAACAAATAATTTTAAGTATCTACAAATAGGTAGATAAGATGCTATCCACTAATAATAAACTAGTGAACAAAATAAACATACTCCATGCCAAATGCAACTGACAGTCTTACCTACAGAAACCAACATTAAACTAATAATTTTACAAATTACTAATGTTTTTTTCTTAAACCCTGTAACCCTTTTCTGCTTAGCAGGTAAGGTCATGTGCAATCTGTGTACTACATAAACACACTTCCCAAGGGGGTGAGCAGGAGCTAACATTCAGTCCTAGTTCCACTAGGTCCTGGCACAGAACTGCTAACATTCAGTCCTGGTTCCACTAGGTCCTGGCACAGAACAGCATCTTTTTCTTTGAACAGAGTTGAAAACTAACCAAGCCTTCAACTGCAGGGTTATGTCTGCTCACAGATATGCATTTTTTACTTTGTCCTCCTTGAAACTGTGCCTTTAAAAGTCATTTTGTCAGATAAGTATCTTTTTCTAGACTGGCATTAAGTCCTAATATTGTTGCTACCTGTATAGCCATCCATCCTCATGAGTCTCACTATCCACATATACAATAAACTTACTATCCTATCAAGTTCAACTGAGGGCAAGGGTGATAGAAATATTTATCTTTATTAAAAATATTTATTTAGACATCTTTAGTAAGCATATCTTTATTAAAATATCATAGAGGTAAATATCACAAAACACTAACAAGGAAGTAACCAGTTCTGTCCTCAAATCTGAGTTTCACCTGGGTCTTATAGCCTATTCTGAATGCTCTTCCTGTTTGATTCTGTGTACCTAGAATGCTGCTATATCCTTCAAAGAAGTCATTTTCCCTCCAAAAAGTGTTCTGTTGGGGCCATACCAACATACACAGATAAAGGCATAAACTAATGACCCTTCTAAGTAGTTATCATGAAATTTGCCTCTAAGGTAAAAATTCTTGGTTCACTTGGACTAAGAAATTACATGCCAATAGTTTTTTATTCCTTTTCCTTAGGACTTCCTACCAGAACTCCTGAGGCAGCACCAGGCTTTTATAGGAATGAGATACCAGCTGTGAGACAGAGGAATCAAGTACATCACTTGCCAGGTGAAAGTGAAAATCTCTTTTATAAACAAACAAGTTACTCATACCTCCACAACTTTCTAAACTTCATAATTTGTATCAAAAGCTTTATTCTTATTTGTTGTGCTGAAAACACAGGTCCCTCATGAATGAAGACAAATTTCCCTGAAGCATTGGTTAAAACCAGAGACACTGACTTCATTAGAAGGAAAGCAGAAATTCCTAAGGATTTTGTGAACAATTTTGAAATGTTCCATAGAATTTTGATAGTGTTATTTTCCTGCTCTGTATATGAATTATTTGTATCAGTCCATTAAGAAAATATGGAGAGACCAACAGACAATTCAGGGAAAACTTAAGAGCCAAAAAGAAAGGAGTTTTGTAAAAAATCTCCACAATTCTTCCTAACACAATTAAATATTTTCTGTGATCAGAAACAACTGTAATGATCATGAAAACTCCATAAAGAATGGCCTCAAAGGAGCAATGTTCTCTCAAAAATAGTGAGCAGAAAGTAGTAAGGTCCCATAATCTAAATTTTATGCAGTCATTGAATATTTGATGAAGCTCATAGGGACCAAATCATAATCAAACACAAGTTATACAGCTTCCTTAGATTAGGAAACCATTACAAAATGGTTGTGACCAGATCTGCAACTTTAAAAAACTTGAATTACTGCCCTGGCTGGTGTGGCTCTCAGTTGGTTGGAAATCATTATACAAGACAAAAGGGTGCCAGTTCAATTCCTGGTCAGGGCACATACCTGGGTTGTGGGTTCAGTCCCCAACTTGGGCTGCATATGAGAGGCAACCAATCAATGTTTCTCTCTCACATCAATATTTCTCTCCCTCTCTTTCTTGTGCTGTCTACAAATGAATAAATAAAATCTTTAAAAAATGTGAATTAGCAATGGTCTAGACCCTAAATAAATTCAGCAACCAAGAAGCCTAAAGATAGTTGCAACCAACACTTTTCCAGACAGTAGTTTTTTTTTCCTGTGTACTACAACTCTGTCATATGCCTTTCTCTGTGGAGAATTGCAGCTTAGTTACATTTGGTTGTAAAGCCTATGACTTTTTCCTGATTTTCATTTTTATTTTTTTCTGATTTTTATTAATAAGATGAAAAAACATGAATTATAAAAAATAAAGTTAAAATTATATGACATCCAAGCAATGAAAAAGTGAAAAGCTGCTGAGTCATGAGCAGACAATATTTTAACTAAGAAATTCAAAAGAACTTAATAAGAATACTTCTCATAAACATCAGAAACACAGCTTAAGTTCCATTTAAGTGGAACTGAATTTGTTCCAGGAAAAAACTGAATTTGAAAATAGTTTTTAGTTTTTAGAGTTCATCAAAATCAACAAATTGTCATCACCTTTTGAATTTATTAAGCCTTGTTTGCTAAAAATGGTAATCAACATTAGTATAGCACTTTAAAACAGACATGTATTATTTAATCCTACAGCAACCCTGTGTCATTGGTATTATTCTCAGAAGAAATTATGGCCAAGAAAAAAATTCTACAATTTGTCCAAGCTTATCCTACTAGTAAATGCCTTAGTTTGAACCAACCCAATTCTTCAGACTTCACGATTCTCTAGCCTTGAATTATTTGGTCTCCTATTTGTACTTATAGAAAGTGTGTGTAAAAACCTAGTTCTCTCAGGAAGTTTATAATTCAAGATAGAAAAGAACAGAAATAAAATTTCATAATTATTTAATAATTGTTCATAAGATACTAATAAAAAGTCCCTGATTCATTAACATCTAGATAGGAATAATACATATTTTAAGGTAGTAATAAAAGCAGAGTCATAACATTAAACATTTTTATGCTGGAGAAAGTTCTAATAAAGATACCTCTTAGCCTGGCTATATCTTAGCCACTTCTGAAGAATGCAAAAAGGGAAAATGGCAACAAAATTACAGTCATGTATGCCTTTCAGGATTCCACCATGCCATAATGACCAAAAATGTTTGTGCACGTGTGTGTGTGTGTGTGTGTAACTACACCTGTATACACACCCAGTATTTTTTCTAATCTTAGTTTCTGGCATAGGGAAGATAGAGACAAATGAAATTCATTACTGTATTTCAACCAGCCAAGTTAATTTGCAGGTAAACTCCACAAACATTCTAATATAAACCACTTTTATTTTAACTGCGTTAGATGCATTTATTTTACAGAAGGTCTCTAGGCCACACAGATGGCATCTAAAGCAGGAAGACTGGGTTGCTTAGTGAAAGAACATAGCTTTGGAATCAGAGAAATTTGACCTTACCCTGCCTCTTTCTACCATTGTAACTTTAGCCAAGTTTCTTAACCTTAACTGTGCTAGTATCCAGAACATTCTCAGTAATATATAGTAGTAGATATTATAAAAGCAGTAATAAACATCCATGGCCTAAAGAGACTGAATTTGTCTCTTTTACCATTTTAAATTTCCAAACATTAGTTATAGCTTATTTATAACAAAGTAGAAATCCTTCATGAAAACCAAAAAATCAATCTAGTTGTTTCTAGTCAAGAAACAACTAATGAGAAGCTTTATATTAGAAACTTTTGAACTCAGCTCTTTATATTATTTCTGTAGCCATATTCTGACTTATTCAGGGTTCACTCTGTTCCCAAAATTTTGATTCAAATGTGAAAACAAGGATCTGACTGAGACTTATTTGAAGACAATATAAAATCTCTATTGAGCTAGGCTGCACCTGTCCATTGACTGAATTGAATTGAAGTCAGAAAAAGGGCATATGAACACATAGTTGATTGAATGAGATGACACAAACAAGATACATGAAGTCCCCCAGGCAAAAACGTTTTGTAATGCCTGAAGTTCTGTCGTTATTTAGGGCTAAGATCAAAGATAGGGATGAGCATATGACCTCATCCTGGTTTAGCTATCATAAGCCACCAGACTACACTGCCTCTTTACTGTAACAACCTGAGTTTGGGAGGCAGAAGAATCTAGGAGTGGAGATAAATAGTCCTGCAACAGTTTGTAATCTGGTGCTATTGTGGCTTAGCCATCACCTGATCTTTAGGCTTGAGTTCATAGATAGATATTAATAAGTTTTTTTGCCATCAGTCAGTCCTTTCACTTATTTGCATGATCTTTGGTCTCTTAGGCTATCCTTCCTAAAAATTTCTAGGTAAGCCAGAAGGTGATAAATGTGATTAGGTAAGTGACTAACCCTATCTTTGGGGATGCTTTCCTTCATAGTTTTTAAAACTCATATTTATTGAGAAATATTTACATAGAATAAAATTCACCTTTTTAGTATACAGTTATGAATTATTTTTCCTGCTTTTAATTTTGTTTTTCTTTCTAAAAATGTATGCCACAACATGTTAAAGTAACAAGAGAAATTTTTCTGATAATTCACCCAGAATCTAACAGGACTGGGATCATAAGAATCTAATACTTGCCACAGCTCTACTCCCTGCCTCACTGCTGGAGTGCCTATGACACAACTTGTTGTGTTACTGTCTGCAAGCCAAGACAGGCAGCTTTTCAAGGTGTGAAGAATTAAAGATACTATTCTGTGTGATGATGCACAACATGACAGAGATTTTTATAGCAGATAAGAGATTTTTATAGAGAATAAGCCCATTATGAATCAAGTGTGGGCTGTCATTGTTCTTAAAAATATGGTGGATTCTTAGGAAGTACTATTATGCAGAGTAAAGAAATAATAGCACTAGATACAGTTGGAGGCCTTATCAAGTGTGCTGTGCTTAATCCTATGCACTCTATTTTAAGTAGGGCATGTTTCTCAGATAAATCATTTTTTGGTATAGAATACCATAGAAAACAATCTTTTCTTGTCAGCTAAGTTTGATAATGAAAACAATAGCTAATACTGAATGATTGTTATAAACCATACCATGCTAAGAACTTTACACATATTCCCTTAATTATTACTGACAAGATTCCTATGAAGTGGGGACTATCATAATCCACCTTTTTACGGAGGAGGAGAAACATAATCTTCCTGAGATTAAGTAACTACTAGTTTAGGGTCACCAGGCTGGCAAATACTTGAGTCACCATTTGAATCCAGTTTACATTGTATTCTTGATCACTGGGCTTCACTCCATCAAATACTGGGAAACTTGCCTTGGAGAAAAGCAAAAGTTTTTGTGGAGCTTTACAAAAAGGCATTTAGCCTCTTCTAATAGGGGAATTACTATCATTGTAACTACCAACCTTCTATTTCTTATTAGAAAATGGAAGATCAAGTACAACTATGATGAAAAAAATCTTAGTTACTAAAACAGTACCTGATAACTTAATAATATATATCTAACTAATCATAATGACCTTATGCTCAGCAAAGTGACATCTCTATCTGTATCTATAGCTAATATGACAATATGGCATGTCGTGTATGGAAAATTTGAGATACATCTCAGGAAGTACCTTTTGTGAAACAGTCCTGAATAAAAATTCCATAGGTTGCTTAATGTTCATAAAACCATAAAACATTTCTCCAAATGTGATCTGCTCACCTCTTCGCATCTGTATCACCTGCAACACTTTTTAAATACAAATTTCTGCTGATCTACTGAGAGTACCTGGAGGTGCCCCTTAGTTTCTTCAGGTACTTTAAGATCTGGCATGTGAGAGCATGAATCAGTTACTCCTTATTGCTCCAGAGGTTAGGACTGGGACAAATTAGTAAATGAACATGGCAAGGAGTTTGAACTCAAGAGAAAGAAATCCTGTAGCAATTATAGCAAATCCTAAATTGGATTTTTTAACAAATACCTTTGAAGGTTTCTATTGTGGAACTATTTAAACAGGGTGTCAAGAATGTTGTAGGAGAATACTTGCATTGAGAGGATATTTGACTAGACAATCTCTAAAATTCCTTTGAGCCAGGATTCTCATCTTTCTTTTCTGTGCAGTGTGCTAAGCCAGTGAGTAGAGAGAAGTCTGTTTGTTCTATTTTCTCCCCTTTGTCTAAGAATATGAAATGATAGCACTGTCTATGCTTTAGCTTAGATAAC